TTCTTATAAATATTACCTTAGTGTAAAGAATAGAATACACTATGATATTACTTAATATCTTTTGAATTGACTTCTGACCTTTTTAGAATACTTTGTCAACTCTCCTTGAGTAGTGAGATAAATTGTCAGCACTGCTCTTAAATTAAATTAAGATAATAATTTGCGAAAGGGCGCAATTTGTAAGCTTGCCCTAGGAGCCATTTGAGCATGGTACGCGACTGGTAGCGAACCGAAACCAAAATGGAACGTTTGCGATTCTACACGCATTCCAACATATTCGGTTCAGGCGTTTATTAGCAGTGCCGTAAGTAGGCATTTTTCGAAGCGGTGCCGGATCAGGTTTTGGCGCCTTATCACTCACCATTGAGCTCTAATTAATAAAACACCGTACATTTTTGAGAGAAACTTTAGACGAAATTTTAAAAGCACTGCGCTACTTAAATTTTAGAAAAATGCTTTGAATAATGAAGTCTTTCACTCAACAAAGAATAGAACATTTATTTATATTGTTTCCAATTCTCGCGTCAAATTTAGCTATGACATAGGGTACAAGTCGTAGAAATGATTGCGTCTTAGAATAAGGGTGCAAATGCTGGTCACACTAATACAGACTATTGTATAGATCACAAATAAAGTATTATTATTATTAGTTTAAATTTGCAGCCTTTTCCTACCGCTGTAACTTTGTTCTACAAGGGCCATTCAGAAAGTAGCGGACGGTTTGAAATAAAAAGTTAAGAAAGTGTAAGAAACAACTTTTATTATATACATTTGGAAGCTACACTCTTAGGCTATTTTTCAACATAGTCGCCATTAATATTTAGGCGCTTATCATAGCGTGGTACAAGTGTTTTGATTCAAACTTTGTATACCCACGCCGTCTGTGGGGGCACAGAAGTGGGTACCGACAAAGGGAATGTGGTAGCCCCCTGACAAGATCTTATTGATTATGGAGTCAAAACTGGCTAATAAAAGTACTGATCTGCCACACAAAAATGCGGTGAAATCCTTTGGATGTTCCGTTCATCCTAAAGGACCGTAAATTTAGTTTTAATTATATATTTTTATTTTTTTTATTTTGCCTTTATTTTTCACTGCACCCTGTATTCGTCTTTAGCAAACTATTAGAATTTAACCGCCGTTCTTGTCTTTTATGATTGGCCTATACAGTACACCGCGATGCCCATCCGGACTTAGTGCCCTCGGTGCTTCAGCGCCTCCGGCGCGCCCTCTCTCATTCAGAACGCGGTGCCGCGGTACCTTTGGCACCTATGCCTAGTTACGCCACTGTTTATTTGTATCCATTTTCGTATACACTGGCTAACAGGCTAATGTGGCATAAAAAACTTTCTTAGTTTTTGAGAAATTTTAAATTGACTTATTTCATAATTTTTAGCGTGTTTTTGAAAAAAAATAGCGCGTATATTCACTTTGGCTGGTCAGTCAGTAAGTAAGCATCATATCTAAAAATGCGAAATTCAAAAAAGATGTGTCTCAATGACCTGTACAAAAAAGTTTCATACACTTTTTGAATCGGTCTCAAAATAAAGGCGCCAGAGGTAAATATAATCGGAAGACGGAAAGGCAGAAGTTTTATTAAAATTTGACAGATTTGACCGCCCACCCTTCCCAGGTTTAAGCCACGGGACCTCGCTGGCAGACATGACCATTTGACTGTGTATCAGGATATTTTACAACAAAAATCAGCCATGTAACGATAACTAACATTTTTCTGTAGTCAGCTCTCCGTCTATTAAGAATCAACAGGATTCGTATGCGTCATCAATCTGTATCTCAATTTGAGTGGCGTGATTGCGGTTAACTAACTGCGACCCGTATTTTTTTTATGAACAAACACTTCTCAAAAAAGTCACTGAACTAACTGAAAATTCGATAATTGTACCGATGGAATGGGCTGTTCACTAAAGTTATTGCATGACGAAGGGAAATAGGGGTTCATTTTTAGTTTTTACTAATAGAGATTATTATAGAGTACACTTTTTGATATAACAGCAGACTTAAAAACAGTTGAGCAGTTGCATATTAATATTGCCATATTATATAAAAAGTTTATCCTTTAATAATACCTCACCAAAAATAGTGCTTTCCATTAAAAAAATTTTAATGATTTTTGATACAATAAATTCCTTAATTTGAATTTATTTACGTTTCTAGATCCCAAATGATGTGCACTTTAAGAATATGTCATAAAAAATAGTGGTCGCTATTGAAAAAGATATTGTATGCCCCCCTTGACTCTGCAGACGTATGTAGATTGGTAGTAAACATTTTATAGTTTTGGATACCATAACAACCACCTTTAAAAAATTTTGTTTTGAAGATATTTTAATGTTCCAGACAAACATTTCCGCAATGTATGAAAATCTGTTCAGGTCAGCAGCACTCTCCGGGAAAAAGTGGTTTGATTTACCATGCGTTCATTAAAATGTTATCAAAGTACTAACTATATAAGGTTCATTTGTGTACTGCCCTATACATTTATTTAAGGGAGAAATATGTGGTTTTTTCAAAAACTGCTAAAGGTACAAAAATTGCAGGGTAAAAAATTTGCAACAATCAAGTATAACAAATATTGGAACATGTATTCTTGCAGTTTGCTATGATTTTATGGCATGGATGGTCTGTTACCTACCTCAAACTTAAGGTGGCAATAGATCGTTTTTTTAAAAGCCGATTAATGCATCTTGGGGTTAGGTACTAATTGGCAATTAACACATTATTATTATGTTTTTTACTGCTGCGTGTTACGGCTTTACTGTTATTTTAAAAACCTCAAACATATCTACTTGATCGTTTTCAGTTTTCGGCGAATTTAACTTAATTTAATTAACCTGTGCACAAAATGTACGTAGTTTTCTTAAACTCGGTTGGGTACATCTGTTGCAATATGGCCTCGTTGCAGACATAGCCGCAAAGTAGCGCACATTTGAATAATAGGTAAACTATGGTGGTATCTATGCAATAAGCGGTGTCTTTGTTTTTTGAAAAAAACGAAAATTTAGTTTGAAAACTGGAAAGTAACGTGTAGATGTACAAATTGGAACTACTTAAGAAGTCGAATATCAATTGGATAGGGAAATGTGGAAAATCTCTTACTTCATATTTCTTGATATTGTGGTAAAAATGTTAAATTCATGACATGAGTAATTTTGAATGTTGTTCAGCCCAAAACCTTCCTAGGGGCCATGAGATTAGTTTGCACTACAATGGAGGCGATGACTTTGTTGTACTATAACACATCAGCCACTATATAAATATTATTAGGTACTTATTTACCTATTCAGTCAATGGTATAAGTATAAATAAATAAATTTATTCATAACATGTACACTTAACGTAAGTACGCACTTTGCGTAACAAACCGAGAAGCCAACTCAACTGTACAGATAGAATCATAGGAATGTATCATCTTGTTTCTTTAAAAACATCTATTCGGAGTATAAATCACTGAAGAGACTTCATATTCAATGAAATAATCAATGCATATATGCTCACATTTGTCCCAGTCACGGTTCTTAAATTTATTATTTTATTAAAAACGCTAATGGTTTACAATGTTTAGATGGACATTGAAATACCTACTTTATTTTATAAACAAAGGTTGTGCAATACAACAGACATTATTATTCAAAGCAGAAATTCGCATACTGGGAAGACCTTTACTGCAAGACAGCCTCATACCAATTGTGTATGGATAATCGCACCCTTACCATATACGTTGTCGGTAATAATAATCAATGGTACTTACTTAGTTTCATAACAGTTACAAGTTCAAGGATAACCTAGATTATATCTCCTACAAAACAAAATATAATGATATTGCATGGGGTAGTATTCCCAGACCTATATGCTGGTCAAGATGTACGCGAGGTTACAGTGTGATGTTGAGTGAGATGTTCTAGAACAGTAGTATAGTAACTAAGGAGCTCATACCAATTGCACCTCCCTTTCATTAATCATTTATGATTATACTCATTAACTAGAATTCACAATCTCATTGAAGATTAATCGTACAACAAAGTTTTGTTAAATCGACATTGCGAAACGAGATAACAATCCAAAATTTACCTAATCCATGCAAATTGCCACAACCGCATCCTGCTGTTACCTGTCAAAAATTTACAACACTACCTACAACAATCAATTAATCTCGGCTTAAGTATTACATTTAGCATAATTTAAAAAAAAGTGAAAGTTACATTGTCCTTGAAATAGTTCACACGAACTCTTTAGGAATGCGCCATCCTCTCGGATGTTCTATTTGTTACAATTTAGTAAAACACCAAGGTTCAAGTATTGCACAACAAAAATGGAACATCTACCGGAAAAGGAACATCGTGCTCACTGGACCGCGGTAAAAAGTAAATGTTAAATCGGTTAAGGTTAAAAAATCATCCAAGTGAAGGTTTGATCTCACTAATTAGCAAATGCATTGTTTATAAAAATTTATGTGAAAATTCTTGGTTTCACTTTTAAATCAATTTTCACACGTCGCTGTACTTCTGTTTGTACTCGTTTACTTTATTGAGAAAAGTAATTGTGTAATGAACACTTATGTGTAATTAAAAAATGTCATCTATTATGAAAAGACAAATAAAAGTCTCGTAATCTTTTCGTTACGTAATTAATTTCTTTACAACGGCCTCTCCCATATATCCATAAAAGAAAGTAGATACATCACATAATCTTCCTTGGAGCAAAAGAAATTTAGTTCTGATCTTCTCGATTCAAAAAATTACCTTTTTTTGATAAATAAGCAAAAGGGTTCCACTAAATACTGACTTTTCACGTTTGTATTGATCTTCAAAAACTAATATGGTTCATTATTATGAGAGAGTTGCACTTTCACTGAATGAAGTACTTTCTACTTGATCTCCCGCATGTATTTAGAGCTTCGACGAGAAAGAACATTTAGGTACAAAATTGTGCAAATTCGCCACTAATTTTCAACAGTTTTTATAAGTAAAAAGTATGCCTACCTATACACAAAAGCAGTATTACGACCGCACTAATATCACCCTTCATGATTGTCAAACACTATTAACTTTCGGTAGTTGAACTCTTCTTCAAGTCACAATCACAAATGTACATTGCAAGTGAATTTTCGCGGTTTTGACATCACTAATGTATGCAGACGGTGTGTCTTCGACGTGATTGGTTAAGGTATTTCTTTGAAAGTAGGTACTATTAAAGTGGTACCGGCACTCCTCGTGCTTCTTTATGATATAATATTTAACGGCAATATTTTCTTCTCTGTAATGCTACTCGATCTCGTCCAGATACCTCTTTGTCAACTTTCTCCTATAAGAACAACAGCAAAACCACGAATCACAATCAATAATTAACGTTATAATCTGACCGTGAATTGATTCATTAAATTGGTAGTCTGCATCTGTAAGTGAGAGTATAAGAACTTTCTTCTCATTACAATTGAAGAGGTACCGAAAACTACCAATATAAATATATTCCTGTAACCGGAAAATTCAAGGTTAATAAAAATGTCCCATTATGACCGATGATCATGTTACCAATTGGTATCAAATTCAATCTTTGGGTATTCATCTGGAAATGGCATTTAATTATTGTAATTTTAATCTGACTCATACATTTATCGAATGCATTTCTTCAACAAAAATTAAATAATTCATAACGACAGGTGGATTTTTCCAAATTCACCGGTTCACAAGGTTAGATTAATATTCAAATTCGACATTTTTACATCACGTTCGTTCACGGAAAACATTTAAATCCGCATTTAGCGATGCGCCGGTACTTTTCAGATAAAATATAGGTACTAGCATTGTTTAAATAAAGTAATTAAACAATGGTAATAGCGAACATATCGCAGACGCAAGGGTCAGAAGACCCGGACTCTCAATTCCAATTCCTTAGCTCAACGAGGAGCTCTCATCTCCCCTGAACCATACAATTAAAAATAAATTTATAAAAGTTATGCCCTAATTTTGTACCTCAATCAACAAATGTTGAACCACTAGGACCATATGCATCTCTTAGAAGTTTGTACCCTAAGTATAAATTCTCAATTGCAAGGAGAAAATCTACATTGGAATTCCAGTTTTTCGCCACATTCCACGTTAGGTACACACTTTGATCAAAATTTAGGAAAATATCACCACGCTTCATTTTTTCATAAATTAGCATTTATGATTCGTGGTTCTGTTAAATCAAGGCCAACGTAGTAATTTTGTAATTTCCGCACACATTTCGTTTTCGTTCAACCTCCTACAAAACCCTTCATTTTAAATATATCGACATTTTAGAATCGTTGGCTTCTATTTATTAAAATTAACGTTTCGCACTTTCAGAATTGAAGACTTTGACTTCAATTGATGGTTCGTAAGACCTCATCCTGAAAATAATTAGTTTACTTTACTTACTCTACAAGGGGCAACTTTTAGAGGACAAACGCTAAAAGATTCAATTAAAAAATTGTTTATAAAAAAATTAATTCAAATTTAGCGTACCTATACAGGGTGTTTTTTTGGGAGCTTTAGTTAAAAGTTTCTGGGAAAGTAAAATAGGTAGGTTTTTGAAAATTTGTACTTAGGAGTTACTCTGAAGGCCGAATCGATGTAAAATATTTTCAAAATGTCCGCACTTCCGGAAACACCGGAAGTGGATAGTAATTCCGTTATTTTAAATGGCAACCTCTATTTTTTATTTTTGGATTCTACGTGAAATTTCACTTCTTTTGATACCCATATGTCGATATCTACCATTTATGGTTTTTAAGTTATTTTGACTTTAAGAAAAAAAAATGGCGGATGCAGATGGTACCTTGATAATTGATTACTTGCAAACGGTTGTAGTCATGGCAACCTATTTTTATCAGTGCATAGAGAATGAATAGGGCTTTCTTTTACTGTACTTAAAACAAAGTTAAGTTGCGTACAACCGCACCTATGGAGATCCAAATTTAAGAAACTTCAAAGTCTATAAACTCAGTTTTTTTAAATGGAATGACCATGTTCTTAATATTGCATGAGAGAATCGAAATTGGCATATTTTGATAGTGCATGTTCCTATAGCTATCTTTAACAATTTCTGATTTATTCCCATTTCATTGAATTGATCTCGGAATTGATGCCACTTTTTTTCGCATTTTCTTTTTAGTAGTTGGCCATGATTTTATAACAATCTAATTTTAAACAAATCAAGGAATGGAGGATTCTTTAATACCATTGATTCTAGTTCTAGTCTAAATAATTCATTAATAAATAACTCATTTATTAAGGATATAGGACGGAAAATTTTTGAAAAATCTAAACAGAGTCGTTCAACTGAATTTCTTAAACAACGTATAAGTCTGGAAATTAAGAGAGGTAATGCGATATCTGTTCTAGCAACAATTCAATACCAAAAATGTTTCAACGAAGTTTTTTATATTTTGCATTGAATTTATTTTGTTAATCTTGCATTTGCAATTCAATTCATTTTCTTAAATATTCTCTTGTAGAGCTTTGTATCACTTGTGCTTCAACGGTTTGTAGTGTATTAGGGGTACAAAATTTCCAAAATTCATACAATTTCGTTACAGTTTTCGAATGAATGTACGGAAAGCACGCGCCGCGATTCTGCCCATTTCACCATAAATAACAATTAAATTCCAATATAGGTGAAACCACTGCGAGTCATTTTTCGATTTTTGAAAAACTTATGTTAACCTATAGGCTATAACAGTGGGTGATGGACTAGTGTCACTAGATTTGTTTAAAATTCAATTGTTATAGAATCATGGCCGACTACTAAAAAGAAAATCCGAAAAAAATAGTGTCAATTCAATAAAATGGGAATAAGTCAGAAACTGTTAGATAGCTATAGGAACATGTATTGTCAAAATATGTCCATTTCGATTCTCTATCTCATGGAATAGTAAGAACATAGTCATTCCATTTAAAAAAACTGAGTTTTTAGTTTTTGAAGTTTCATAAATTAGGATATCCATAGGGACGGACGTACGCAACTTAACTTTTTGTTAAGTGCACTAAAAGAAAGCCCTATTCATTCTCTATGCACTGATAAAAATAGGTTGCCATGACTACAACCGTTTTCAAGTAATCAATTATCAAGGTACCATCTGCGTCCGCCATTTTTTTTCTTAAAGTCAAAATAACTTAAAAACCATAAATGGTAGATATCGACATACGGGTATCAAAAGAAGTGAAATTTCACGTAGAATCCAAAAATGCAATAAAAAATAGGGGTTGCCATTTAAAATAACGAAGTTACTATCTACTTCCGGTGTTTCCGGAAGTGTGGCCATTTTGAAAATATTTTACATCGATTCGGACTTCAGAGTAACTCTAAAGTACAAATTTTCAAAAACCTACCTATTTTACTTTCTCAGAAACTTTTAATTAAAGCTCCCAAAAAAACACCCTGTATATTAAAAAATATGAACGAAAAGTAGAACATTCCATCTGAAATACAAAAGCTAGATCAATGGAATCTAAATACTTCAGCTAAACCTACCTCTTCTCAGCTCGTGGTACAGCCTGTATTTTATGCTTTTATTATTTAATTTTTTTATCAAATTTATATTATCATCCGTTTTTATATGTTTTGTACATGGATAGCAGTCCGAAAACCTCACAGTTTCAAAATGTCGACCATTTTAAAATGGTGCTATAGACAGTTCCTTGTTTTGCCGATGGAGGTCGTGCAGAGGTTTTTTTAATTCCTCTCGGTGCACGCACTTCTTTGTACACTCAACATTCAACCATTACTTGTAGATGTAGAAGAACATACACGCCGTTATTGTTACTCGACAATTTTTGTCTGCCTTTTTGGGATTTTTATTGGTGCTGAATACGTTTAATGAAGTTTTTCTCTTATTATTTTGCTTTCAACACTCTTCTCCTCATTATTACGTACCGGATTATTGCTTTCGACATCGATATTCCGCAGAATTTTGCATTTTCCCAATTTTGCGCAAGGAAAATTCATTTGGGGAAGGTCCACCGCCATCTTATCAATTGAAGCATACTATAGATGAGTTTCTACCTCACCGGCAGATCCCAGTGAAATTAATCACGTGATACCAACATTGCCTGTGACCCAACTACGTGGAGTTTGTTGACCTACACTTACGATATAGTTCCTAACTGCAAGTATTAACGAAACCTTAACTGTTGTAAATCGCTCCGTTATACCTGATACTACTTACGTACTTTGTTTTTATCGTTATCGAAGATTTGACATTACTGATACCGAGACCCGATGTTGTTGATGATCACGTTTGTGGCTCCGAAGATTCACTTCTGCTAGTTTGTGTACTATGTATCGTTCAGATTAGCTTTGCTATACCGATTTTAGTACCGTTGCTTAGTACATTAGTTTTTGAAGTTACCGAAACGTTGTTCGAAGCCGATATCTACATTTTTTAGTTACTTACGTTATTTGTTTACTCGGAAGAATCGGCTCGTATTACATAGTAAAGTATTTTTCTTGAATTTAACGTCAAGTTTATGCTTTTATACCCCAAGACTGTAAGGATAATCCGTGGTCAATCAAAATTTGGCTTTTGCTAGTGTTAAGTCATTCGAATGTAATTCTTATTGAGTATCATACAGTTTTTATATCCGGTTGCCGAGTGTCAAACGTTAGCATTGCTTACGCAACATTTTATGTACCGCGCTATTCACTACCCCTTTTATTTGTTTGTTTGTTATCTGTTACAGATTAAGCAGAAACCGCCCTTCTGAATTCGCAAGGCCGCTACGACCAGAATTTAAAGATATTTTTTTAAATTTTTCGACGACTTCTTCATAGAGGGTGTTTCGAAATTCGTGCACACGGACTGTGGGATGGTGTCATACAACGAAAACTGAATAAAAAGTTCCTCTACCAGTTTTTGATCAGACCGGCACTTTTTTTTTTCGACATGCTGAAGATTGTTTACTAGCAGACGGCGGACATTTTGAACAACTGTTGTAATTACGTACTCGTCATAATTATAGTTTATTTTGAACCTTCTTTTGTTTTTAAAAATCTGTTATTATTAAGTTTAACCAGTGGCGTAGCGTAGGGGGGGGGGGCGGAGATTTTTAAAACCGCGGTAGCTCGAAAAATAGCGGTCTGATGGACAGACACACAAGGCATTCTTTGACATAATAAACGTAAAAAGGCTAAAAAACTTCTAAATCATCAAAAGATTGTTACGGTATGTCAACCGGAAAATTATAAAACGTGTGAACAGCCTCCTCTAGAGCATTTAATCGACGAATGTTTGCCAAAATGTATATTTTTTGATCATTTGAAAATATCGAGAATAACTTTGGTATAAAAAGACAAAAAGGGACAATATCCAATAATCTTTGAGCCAGTATCAATAATACCCATTGTTTGAAGAGCTATTAACTGACTTTAAACAAAGAAATGAATTTAATTTCAAGCTGCCAGTAGGCAGTATGGGTTTGAGGAGAACATCGACATCGGATGCAATTTTGCAATCAAAAACCCAAATATGAAACAAAATCAGAATTTCTAAATGGAATAAGCAATGCAAAGTTGTTGCTATCGGTCAGGCTAGTTTATGGAATTGACGAGAAAATATCCTCCTCAAGCATATAAAAGGAGGCTCCAAAAACACGATCTTTCTGGCAGGTGAAAAGTTATATACCCCCAAACGCCAATTGAAATATAATAATATAACATGTTTGCTCAGTGGAATCCAAAACATAAGATATTATGTTATTGTTTCCGGCCAGCTCTATATAATAGAAAACGATGGAACTTTTTATTATACCATGGATGGAACTGAATAAATTCGCAATAGGTATCATATAGGCAATATACCACAAACCACACAATTCATGATGGTATACTGCAATAGATGTACCTATAGCGACCACTCTATAGGTAATGTGTTCTGTACATTTTCTCCTCATAAATTAAGCATTTGATGCAGGCTGCTATTTAATTTATTATGCATTTAACATAATAGTTGCTTTCAATTGGCTTTCACAGAAAATTGAATTATTAATACAAAAATCCATACGTTTCCCGCAATATAAATTTGCAAGCCTCAATTACACGTATAATCAGAGCAAAGCACAATGAGGATTCTCAAGACGTATTTACTAAATTGCATGTTTCATGGCTGGGCGTTCGTCGCCGATGATAGATACCATTGGACGGAAAGGCTCTTTTGGATAATCAACATTATTGCTTCTTGGGTGAGAGTGCAATTACGTTCCATCATAATTTTAGGTATTACTTTTAAAAGTATCTCGCCGGGATGTTTATGATGAATTCGTACTACCAGTTTGAAAACGATTCGGTGAGCTTCACTGTCGATACGCTTTACTTAAACTGGACAACAAAATTCCCGGCCATTATTTTTTGTGAGAAGGGAAATGAAAAATATCACCAGTTTGCAGATCAGTAATTAATGGAAAGGTGCAGGAGATGAAGAAGAGTATACCTATGATTAATTTTAGGTGGTTTAAACCGGATAGAAATTTTGACACGGATGAGGTCATCAAAGATATTGCTTTTTTTAAGGGTGCCTTTGACGGTATCACCTACAAGTGTATGCAACAAAGCTTGCACTTGCAATGTCCGCCTTCAAGATATACTTATATGACCGTAGTAGAAGGAGTAAATTACGCTTATGGGTTATATGGATCTAATGTTGCTATTATAGGTGAGGAGTAGTTGCTCAGAACTGTTTGGTCATTGTACGTGGAGGGAGGAAGAGTTTGACTGTTGCAGTTACTTTCTACCCTTGAATACTATATACGGAGTTTGCTACGCCATTAATTCCATAGCGACCCATAGGTAAGAATTAAATGACAAAGGAAATGAATTCGCAGTGCTTTAGATATTATTAAATACACTTATTTCTAGTCCTACGTGCAAAAATCGTACACAAATGGAAATTCCTTCTACTGGTAAATTAAGCGTATCTACGATTTCAGTAGAATTGTTGCACCCCAACGTGAAGATATTCACACTAAGCTCGGAAGAAGTGCCAACGTACAATTCTGAGACCAGTAAATTAGTATTTGACGGTATTAGTGTATCGCCACACCTTAATGAAGAAAATCACATACTCCTACGAGTAGAAGTTACGTTCTCCATGAAATGCTGTCATCGAGTACCTAATTCTGCATTTTAGGACACTGTTAATGAACCCGAAGTTGAATCTCTCAGCATAGAAAAACGCAATTGCAGGTATCCAAATGAAAATTATTTGCAGACTTCGAAAGTTTACAGTTATCCAGCTTGTATCATTCAATGTCTAAAAAATATTCATCTGAATTCGTGTAATTGTACACATCATTTAATGCCAAGTGCCAGTAAGTACCGTAATATGTTTATTATCACTTTCGGACAAATTTCAATGGTCGTTATCAAATAATTACTATAATAGTTAATGCAGGCTATACAACGACGAGCTGAGTGGATTATTATGTGGGAAACTAATGATAAAACGGAATTAAACAATTTACCGCACAAAGTAATATATTGATGGCAATATTCTAAACACGACGACTGAGGCCGAGTACACTTGTGACCCTTGAGACTATTCATATTTGTAAAGCTACGTGTTGAAACGTTTGAACTGAGGGAAAGTTGAGACCACTTTGAAGGCCGCACAATTTAGTACCTGGTGAACGAACCCGGAGGTAATTCAGAGGTCATATGAAATTAATTTTTAATTTACCAACGGCTAGTTCACTAAAAAAATATTTTCAAACCCCTTACCGCGCGAAAGTTTGAGCCTTTATCTCCTCTGAAAACCAGAAATTTAAAATCTAATGCTTTGGTTTGATTGTACTCGAGTAAATACACATATGACTTTAGTTAATTAAAATTAATAAAAACAAAGACGATTGATTTTCATTTTTCTTTAAACGTTCTTGGATGTAAAATATGGGTTTTGTAAGTAAATTTAAGATACAATTTAAGCACGAGAACGAGATTTTTAAAACGGTTTTTCGCTGGCCTCTTTGGATGTTATTTGGCTACTTTTTCATACAGAAAAAGTCATATGGAATGCCATTTAATTTTTTTAGGATTTTGGGCCATGATGTCAAAACTAGCCCCCTGGCGGAGAAGGATTCAACTAAATTAACTATGTTTGATTCTTATTGTCCAAGGAATGCTCTTTTTAACGATACCAAATTTGTTGAAATCGGTCAAACCGTTAAGAAGTTAAATTAGGTAATTCCAAAAGCAATTGAACGTCCCACACCATCTTTGTCTTTGAAATAACTGAGTTTTTTTTACGAAAATGATAGATAAACTGGTTCTCTTTAAAAATGTGAAAACATTTTTAGTTTATTATACGAAATTTAACTTTTGCCGTTTATTAACGATCCTAGAGATCGTTTATAATTTTGCATCTGTCGTCTGCCTGTTGGTCTGTCCGTCTGTTCCTTTGTCTGTCTGTCCATCTATCTGTCCGTGTGAACGATAACTTTGTTTAGAAATGTTCGATCGCTTTTACATCTCGGTTAGTTATGAACTGAATTGCATGAAATTCAATATGGGCATAGCTTTAGCCATATAATACGCAATGCCAAAAGTTGAATCAAATCGATTCAAAATTCACAGTGCCCTTTTCGCATCTCGACCATTTATAAACCGAATTGCAAACTTTTTACTTATAAAAGTATTTGAATGAAATTTGATACATAGGCACTTGGAATAAAGGAAAATCAAACGCCAATTTCAAAATTTGGTTTTGCGCATGCGCAGTGCCAACTTTTTTGTTTATGGAAGAATTTAAATGAAATGTGATACATAGGCACTTGGAATAAAGGAAAATCTAGCGCCAGTTTCAAAATTTTATTTTGCGCATGCGCAGTGCCAACTTTTTTTATCTATGGAACTATTTAAGTGAAATTTGATACTTAGGCGCTTGGAACAAAGGAAAATCTAACATTAGTTTAAAATTTAGGTTTGCGCATGCGCAGTTCCAACTTTCTTATTTAGAAAAGCATTGAAATGAAATTGTTCTTATAAACTGAAATTGAAGTAGCACGTCAACAATGGATTGCCCATGTGCAACGCTATCTTTCATATTTGTGGCCGGATTTTGACGATTTTAACAGAAGTTGCATCTTACAAATGGGAAATGAATGCAAGTGGAAATGCGCTTTATGTAAATCGTTTACGATTACTTTTTAACTTGTTGTATGTAGTCTCACCTGTCTAATTAAATACTCTAACATAAAATAAATTAAAGGTTGAGTGGAAGAGCAGACACGGATGATATCCCTGTCTGAACTCCGCCATTTAGACAGGCTCTGTATAGAAATTGTCTATTAAAGTCATTTATTATTATTATTATTATTATTATTATTATCCTGGTAAAAACTGGTAAAAAAATGTTAGTTTAACAGGTCACAAATAGGACTAAATTTGTTATTTTGGGGCCAAAATGGAACGATTTTTACGTTAATATTTATCTTACTCTCTAATGCTAAAATTATATCACACCATTGAATAAAAAATTAATTATTCAATGATCAAGCATTATTTTAGCGATCCAAGAAATGTGCGATTTAGATGGATTATTTTGCTTATCGTCAAAATTCTCGGCACACCTTCAGGAAAGTTCAGAATGCACTTGTTTAAGTTCTTGCATTGAGAGCAAAATAAGCATCTTGGGTCATATTGTCTATCAAGACTTTAGAAGGTAATACACTCGATTTGTATTTAAAATTTATTCGCTATTACCTCTATAAATTTTAGTTTCAAAAACAAGAAAAGTACGACTAAAATTAACTTTACCTTATATCCACCGGCAATTCGATATATACGAAAAATTATCACTGGATATTTGGATCTTATAGGTAAGTATACTATTTTTATTGGTACATGTAATGATATAAAGGGAGCTTACTAAAGACAAATTACGCTGACATACTGAGGACTTAATAAACGTGTAAACAAATATAGAAAACGAGCGCCTGGGTATGGCTATAGCTTGTGCAAAACCAAATTTTGAATCTGATGGTAGTTTTGCTTTTATTTAAAGTGTTATTTATGTATGAAATATCATTTAATTGCTTCGATAAATAAGAAAACTACGCGCATATTGAATTTCATGCAATTCGGTTCATAACTGAAGGAGATCTCAAAAGGTCCTTCCTTATTGTTTGGCCTACATTGCCAATTCACGAACTCCGATCTTCAAATTGAATAAAGAATCCACCTGCAAAATTTCATTGTAATCGGTCCATTCGTTTACGAGATATCGTGCTAATGGACGGACGGACAGACAGACACCGCAAAATTATAAACTCGCTAATCGATACTTGCACGCGCTCCAAAGAAAAGAGTCATCTTTTACTAATTATCCCAATGTTCTGTGCATAAGTCACACCGAATATTCCCAATGTGAAACATCCCCAAAATTATATCCGGATCGACATATTAGAAACTGCCCTTACCAAGGCTTGCGACAAAACAGTGTTATACACTTCCGATTTCTTTGTCCGATCTTGCCAACACGTCGTGCAAATCAAACGAACGAGGCGGAAGTCTGTGGGGCCCTTTATTAACGAGCTCGTAGCGAGTTTATAATTTTGCGGTGTCTGTCCGTCTGTCCGTCCGTTAGTACGATATCTCAAAAGCAAATGGACCGATTACGATGAAATTTTGCAGGTGGATTCTTTATCAAATTTGTATATCGGAATTCGTGAATTGGCAATGTACGCCAAAAAATAAGGAAGGTCCTTTTGACATATCCGTTATTTATGAACTGAATTGCATGAAATTCAATATGGGCATAGCATTAGCCATATAATACGCAATGCCAAAAGTGGAGTCTAATCGATTCAAAATTCAGAGTCCCCTTTTCTCATTTCGATCAAAACTGAATTGCAATTTTTTTATTTATGAAAGTATTTAAATGACATTTGATGCATATGCACTTGGAATAAAAGCGCCAATTTCAAAATTTGATTTTGCACATGCTATATAGCCATACCCATCAGGAGCTCGTTCGCTAGTCTCGAAATCTAGCACCAACTTGCAATATTTTTGTTTTACGTGTTTTAGTTTACATGGGCGGACTGGCAGGACTATTTGCTGGAGCAAGCGTGTTAACCATAGTGGATTTTTTCTACTATTTCATTGTACGCCCTTACAATGATGCTAGAGTGAAAAGACAAGTATTGGAACCCGCTATAAACCAAATACGCAAAGAGCACAAGCACATACCTTTTAGAAATTAAATTAATTCGCTTTGTACGGTATTATTACACTAATTTAGATAAGTCAGTGTAGGTAAGCAATTTTATAAATTTGCAAATTTGTCATTCTCTCTAGTTGGTTAACTTATTCTGTCGATTCGCCATTGTACTTGCGGCAATTAATTTACATAATATCTAAGCTAGTAATGGGAATGAGGATAATAACTGTCTAAGTTTCGAATAAAGCATGCAACCTCTATCTAAATTTAATTGCCTTATCCATCGACGGTTATAATAACGCAGCTTTCTTGCGCCTGGCCTTTTGAATGACTAAATCTTGACACGCATTAAAAAAACAGGGACATTTATTAGTAACTACCTAGGTACTGAAATTAAAATGGAAGTTTGAGATTAATCACAGTGTTAACAACCTAATTACGTTAATGAGAACTATTTGTTTTAAGAATAGGAGGGGTGCTCACCTTGGTAAGGTATACAACCTATTATCAGAATGAATCATAATAAAATAATAGGTGTAGCGCTTGATGTCTTCATGTAAATATATACCTTATCGCAGGCTAAGGAGGTCGTCACCCTGATGGCCATCCCAAACTCATATTTAACTCTTATGAGACAGAACAATTCACAATTTGATTTATGCCCGTTTTTAGGTGGATTCGTGTTAAGAAATTTCCGTGATATATCATACTGAGTTTGTGGATGTAGCACAGTTGCGAGACATCAAAAAGTTCACTAATCGAAGATTGACATTTTTGGATACTGTCATCCGTATAACAAGAACGCTTCAGCAGTATACATTCCAAGGATTTGGAAAAGGGCAGTCGTTTATTGTGGCGTTGCTCAAACCAGAAAACGTGGGTAGGTTTCGTTGTTGTATCAAGGAGTTACCCATAAAATGGAGAGAAGTTGTAAATCAATCCTAATTCAAGGAATTCTGACATACAGTATGTGGAAAGCGCGTTCGAAAGGAAGGGAATCGAAAACCAGATTTATCTGAAAAAGCGACTTCTGACAATAAAATACATTGGCGCAGAAGCACTGGAAAGTCACTTCGTCAACTTCGAGAGGCGTCACAGGACTAATGAGCGTTGGGGCCAAGGTGGAGGATGTCGACATCGTATGTCATTTTCTTTTAACGCTGCCACCAAGTTTTGACGGCATCGTCACGGGCCTGGAGACTCTTGAATCAGAAAAGCTTACACTATCGTTTGTGAAGGGAAAACTACTGGATCATAAGGTGAAGAAACTTGATCAAGAAGAAGGCGGGAGCAACGATACATCGGTATTCCACATGCAGCAGAGGCCGTTCAGGAAATGACCTGCTCATTTCAAAGGAACGAAACTTAAGATTTCCATTGCAAGAAACCAGGGCATAAGAAGTCAGAGTGCTGACAACTGAAGCAAGCCAACAGTTCAGTAAGAACAAGAGGACCACGTCGACTTCGATTTCAACTCCAAAGCCAAGGACAGCATGGTCAACGACGTCGAAGTGCTTTCGGAGATGCAGAAACTGCAAGCATTACACTGCATCAAACTTTGTACCTTCCAGCTTCAATGTCAACCCCGGACGTCCACCCAATTGCTTAAGTTTTAAATCACCTAACAATAAATACATAAAGGTCACACAGTTATCGAGGAGAAAGTTGCAATCTCAAATGACTTCACTGTTCTTTAAGTGTGATCCCCACAAGGGCTTGGAGAATGTTTGGGCTGATTTCAAGATTCACTGGAAGGCGTTTTTTAATAAGATCACGCCAGGCTACGTTGCGGATATAGCGTGGAGATTCTCTAAGAACCGCCTGGCAGACCCCTGTTTTCTGTTTCGATCGAACTTACGCGCGAACAATAACTGCCAATATTGCCGTACTATAAATGCAGATACATGGAACATGATTATTAAATGCCCGCAAGTAATACTATTTGGGAACTAGTGCAGTCGCTAATTAAAAAAATTGATTCGAACCGTTCTCTACCGACTGCTCAGAATTGGGTAATTTGTGGACTACAGGGCAACACAAATCATTTTATTTTATTCAATTTTTTAATTAGGTACGCAAAATTCTACATTTACCGTAATGCCATAAGTCAAATGAAATCAAACCGAGTAACACCAAATCTTAGGAATGCCTTCATTATCGCTTTAAAAACTATCATCTTATACAACTATTCGTGGCATTTGGGAAAAAATACATGTGAAGTGTTTGTAAACCTCTCGCCAGGAAAGATTGCCGGTCACAGAACACTGGATCCGGATCTACAATCGATGTTTTTCTAAAGATGTGAGCGACTTTCGTGATAGTATCGTGTCAATGTTGAACAAAAAGACTTTTCGTTCAACATTGGCACGATCCTATTCCGGAAGTCGCTCGCATCTTAAGAAAAGCATAGATTGTAGATCGACACAAGGTGTGCTGTGACCGGCAATCTTTCCTGGCGAGAGTTATAGATCACTGGTGTATAAATGAGGTGATATGTTACATGGACAAGTTCAATAAACCACAATTTAAGCTAGAGAGCTAGAAGAGAATTGAATGGCGAAGGTTGTGACTTGTTTATTTTTATTCTTTTTGTTAAAAGGTCAAAAGTGCTGATGATCATATAGTTTCGTAATTTTGTATATATTGTACAGTTGTAATAAAAATAATAATAATAATAACACTGCAACTCAGTGGCGAAAGACGGTCAAGTTGTAAGTGCTTCACACTTTTCCAATTCTTCGATTATGACTTAGTGTTCCATGGAATCGAAAGGTCTTTAGTAGCCCACAAAAACCATATGTATTTCTTGATTTTATTCCGTTGTGTTTTTCAATACGCCGCTAGTTTTACTGGTTGATATCTGTCAAGATTCTTCTGTATTCCGTTTGCTATTATTCGCATAAATATGTTTGTATAGGTACTTACTTGCGGTAGTAGACTAATTTTTTTTAATTTTTCTCTCCTTTTTTAAATAGAATTCCTTCGATCTTGCAAACACCAGTTAAATAGGTCTTATAATTTTAGTGTAGACATAGGACAACCACAAGACTTAGTGCTACGCGAATCATGTCGATATTCGCCCGTACCGAACATATGCAGCCTGCTCCCACCACCGCCGCAGGACCTGGTGCCACGCGAATCATGCAGACATTCGCTTGTGCCGAACCTAATTAGTCCGCTTACCTACCAATAACAATGAACGTACTTAATTATGGAGGTATCCATAGCATATGCCAATGTATGCCCTTGTCTAATTCAATTAAACGATCCCCGGGGATTTCCCTCCAGGAAACTGTAAGAATTTTAATATATAAACATTTCAAAAGTCTTATTGTTAAAATCGTTCAATGTTCTTAATTAGTTCGTTCTGTGTTTGTAATTATTTAGTTTTCTTGTTTTCTTATGTTATTTGCGAATTGTTATAAATCGTTTCATATTTGTAAATACAACGGTACCGAATAAACATAGGTAGTATTATTATCCAACCAGAAGACACCATCTTCCGGTACTTTGTTGTTTTCTAACGCTTTCTTTGCAAGAATTAAAGCATCTCTTTATTTATTTCCGGGATGACTTCTGGTTCAACATTTCTACATATTATAGAGGGTTTCATAGTTAACCCATTATTAGCAAGTTTTTTCCTATGGCAATTTAAAACGAGCATTAAAAATTCAAGGCTATACAGATTTATGCCGATTTCAGTTTTGTTAAGCGACCTTTATGCTGACTGGAGGAATTTCAATTAACAATATCAATCTGGCCAATTAAGTAAGTGCAATTAACAGTAGCTAAATAAATGTGTTGCAGTAAACGTTATCAGAATCAGTCGTGTGAGGGCGGCCCGGATTTTCCTACCTTCTCTCTCCGTACTTTGGGAAGTGTATGTAAGCCTCATTTACATTTGGCAAAGTTTACTGGCCGACAGTACTTTCTGCCAGTAAACTTGCCAAGTATAAATGAACGGAAAGTGCACTTGCCAGTCACTTACTACTTGCTCGCAAATGGCAAGTGAAGTTGAGGACATGGCCAGTTTAGTGGCCCACTTTCCTATTTGGACTTGCAAATTTCGGTAGTTTCTGTATAGTTGCTGCGTGTAAATAGTGTGGGAAAGTTAAATTATAAAACATTTTTCTGGAACAATGAAGTGGAACTGTGACCAAATAATACAGTTTTTAAATGTGTATGAGAAATATGAAGTACTTTGGGACATAAGAAAAGAGGATAGAACGAGGCAATGCCTTCGAATAACTATTAAATTTCATGGAGTTCTTAGAAACTGATGTTCTTCTTCTGTTGCAACCTCTTTTATTAATAGGCCAGAAGCCCCCAGAGCATCCCTACCTTCTATCAAACTATCCATTCTCTTACCCATATTCGTTTTCTTTGGTTTCTCCTAGAATCGTTGGTTAATGTTGCTGCAAAAGCAATACCATCGACTTTAACACCAGCGAGAACTACACCAATTCGAAGCATTTTGTTATTATTTGAACAAGCAAATTAGCACGTGTGTAAATAGAAATTAGGTTGCAAGTTTACTGGCATAAAATAATGTCCGCCAGTCAAATTGTCAAATGTAAATGAGGCTTAAGGTAAACGCTCAATTTACAGGGGATCTTTTTACTTTTAGCGTTTAACAGTGGTAGAGCCCTGGGCTATAAATCCGGAGGTCGGGTGTTCGAACCTGGGTTGAGGTGAATTTTACAGTAGAGATGGGAATTGCCTTAGACCAGTTTCGAGCATTCTGCCGGCTATCTTCCTGCAGTTTTCCTAATTTGTAAGGTAAATACCGGAGTAGTATAGAACAACTTAAGGCCTTCTGCAGAGGCACCTCTAAAAAGCATTATTGAGTGCCCAGACCAAGAGAGGGATAATAAATAAATAAATAAATAGTAATAATTTCATCTTTTGCCTTTTACATCCTCGCAAGTTACGTTTCGTAAGTAGGTACTGTTAATTTATTTTTCATTCATACCGTTTAACTTTTACTTTTACTTTAAGTAATTTTTACAGTAATATCTGCGTTTTATTGCAAGGTGCTTTTTGCTACTTCCTGTTCCATTAATTATAAGGGCGGGATATTGTTCCGCTTTTCTGTGTTGGATTTTTCGTAGACACCGTTAATTAAATTGCGTTTTGTTGCTTTCATTCCCTCCAGGAAATTTGCTGTAATTCTGTTTTAGTTTTTCCGAAATGACCACTGCCATTTGCTGAAATGATCCGATTCCTGGAGTTGCCGTTTAATGCGATTGAGATTAACCGAGGCTTTAGAGACCGTCCCGCAACCCCTACTACCACCAACTTTGATCAGAGGCAAGTCCGTACCCCTTGGTGGCGCTCGAGTCCGTCCGTCCGTTCCACCGACAGCACATCCAGTTTGACGCCGACTGCCCCTACTTTCGTCCGCTCACATGATTTAGTTACTATAATTTGTAAATTTATTTGTTTTTCTTTTAAATTAAATTGTAATCATTATTCCGCTAATGCTTATTTAATTTTTAATGCCATTTCTGCGTGGACTTACTACCGAAGTTTGTCGCAAAACAATAGATTGTTCCACAGGTCTGATTTCAAGTTGCCATTGACGTCGATCCCGATTTTCTTTAGGAACGTCAGAACATGACGTTTGTTCTGAGGAGCTCTCATGCCTTCAGAAACCACGTGACTTTCAGCGAACGTCAGTGTAATCACTCTCATGTTCATGATGAACAGCCCATTCGATCTCTTGGATGGAGCAAACAAAACCATGTCCTTGTAAATGTAGCAATTCTCATTATTCAGAACCGAATAATACTCTTTATCCAGAGTAGAAGTCACCCAGAACAAATTTTTACCCACTTCCCGAGCAAACCACACATTTTTAAGAATAATCCCTTTTAGTCTTACCATTGACAATATTTCCAATGTAGAAAATGCCCTTGGCAAGCACCTTCATTCATTGGCAATTTCCGACTTGAACGTACTTTTCTGGGAAAAACACATCAAAAGTAGAAAATCAATTACAGTTCATGGTCACGGGCTGCGTTGCACCGGAATCTGCAATCCAAGCACTGGGAAATCCACAGATTTGACAATATCCGATTGGCTACTACTCTTCTCAGACTTGGACTTCTTGGAATTCTTACAGTCCCGATTACAATGGCTTAACTCGCCACATTTGAAGCATTTTGCGACACACTTCTTTGACTTGTCGCCACCATCACCGCCCTTACCGTGACCATTCCTCTGCTTGGATTTGTTGAGCCTATCTTTACTGGCAAAATAGGCAATATCCTTAGTAGAATTTATTTTATTTTATTTATTGGGAAGCTTCTATCATTCTGTCGCAGCTCAACAACACACTTCTCACACTTTCTCCCTAGTACTGACTCCCAAGCATTAATAAATTCATGGTATTACCATTGACGTATTAGTCAATGGTATTAGATACCTACCTTGTCCTAGTCTCGTTCTGAATTTCTAAAAATCTGATTGAAAAGGCGATCTTTTTATTTATTTATTTATGTCTCTCCAATTTATCTATCAAAACTAGCGTAATTTCCATGACAAATAATCCAGACGATAGTAACTAACTTCCCCTACTATAATTACGCACACGGCACACTTCCGTTACGATCGTTCACGGCGAAGTTCCAAAAAAAAGTATAAGTTCGCACAATACTGGGCCCATAACCTAATGAGATCTGTGATCAACAGTTAGCGCTAATTGAGATCTTCAAATAAAGTCACAAAAAAATAGAAAAGAAATTAGTGAATTACAGTTTTCTCCTGTTATCTCTGAAACTGTTCGTAATTTCTTCACTTTCTAGGCAGGGGTCCCAAAATACGCAACTTTGCCTCCATTTAATCGACATTGTATCTTTTACGGTTTTCAAGATCCCAATGGTCACCTTCGAATTTGGAACGCCCTAGAGAATGAATGTGAATTAATCATTGAACATAAACTAACATAAGAACTCCCAAATCGAATGATGGATTTTAAGACTACACCCTTATAAATACCTATGAGGTAATTGGTAAGGGTTATTTTTAATAGAGCTAGCCATGGTACGCAAACTCAAGGAAACCCCCCAACGTGAAAAGCACCAGTTAGAACAGTGGTTGTTTAGTACTGTTAATTTTAGGACACCTTTCTTAGTACCAAAGCTTAAAGGGCAAACCTGAACAGAAAGAATGAATATTGAGCATGTGGTAAGATAGCAGCATAGTAGGTCAGAAATGCACTGAGTAGGTATCTCAGTGTTATTCCCTCCAAAATACCAAAGCGGATGACAGTAGGTATAATCATTGTATTTATAAACGAAATACAATGGTATAATGAAGGAAGTGGTCACTCATACAAAACGGTTTATTATTATTATGCGTCAACAAAATTACAAGAAACGAAACTATTGTAAGACGTAGATTTAACGCAACCACCCTTTCTTACTGGTCATATGTAGGTATATTCCTTCTAAACTGTTGAAATTCTCTATTCAGTTCTGGGTCATCCTGAAATTCGTCATTTGGCGCTTCACTAACTTCTTTCAAGTACAAAATTTCGGGCCTCTCGGTCTTTTCATCTTTAATTTTCGCACGTCTCATTTTCCTAGCCGGGCCCCTGGTTTTCTTATAACTTGGACATTTCACAGTTAAATTATCGATTTCTTCCCGCCACGCTTTGTTATTGGTTTCATTAATTATGGTCGAGACGGCGTTTGAGGTCTCCTCTACGTTTCTTATACTACTATTTGAAAATTCAGTCTGGAATGAAGATAGAACTCCGAGCTGCGGGTTTATCATTAAGCTCGATTGAGGGAATCCAAATCGACCTAAAACCTTTTAGGACACAATTGCGGTATCTAGAAAGAGAGATGTCTATTCACCTGGGATATATAGAAATCTTTCTCCTGCACGCTGAGTGTTTCCCAAGAAGACGAAATCACGGCCTTTAACTGAGCTTTTGGCGCGTTCGGGAATATCCAGTGATACAATGTTCTTGTGCGTTTAGAAAATAATGATCTAGCAGCCTTCAGTACTTCGATTTGCTTAGCGTCTGTATTATCCGCAAGATGAGTGGTGTCGATATATTTTACTGAGTCATTTTCTACTTTTATCTAAAAATGTACCTATTTAGAACAGGGTTCAGGTAATCAAGTGGATAGTTCACCTTACTATTGGCCTTTCTTTTTCTACATTTCTTGTTGGGACCAGTACTACCTGATGCTTCAGTTTGGTGACAGTCTGCTTTAAGACGATTCACCATTGATGGCAACTGCAAACGGTTCTGATGTATACTCTAAGCGAAGTAGCTTTTCTCTTACCTCTACTTTGCGTTTTTCAGCGCATGTAAGATCTATCGGCTCTTCCAAAACACGATTGCGACAACTATCACCGCATAACGACGTATGAACTTCAGAACAGTGAAGTACCGCACCCGTTGGATGAGCGATGTAATTAGAAGTATTCTGAAGAGGGCATTAGGTAATGTTTATGGCAACGAATATTTACATTTAGGTACTCACCTGAATAATCGGAATATGATTGTTACCTTTTAATCTTTGAACGGTTTCCATTGAGAAATCTGTTTATGCCATTTAAAACTAAAATTACCGTTTCCAACGCTTGTGTCTAAACAATCTGTTGTTTTTCTATTTCTAAGGTAATACGACTTAATAATTACATTTTGTTCATAACTAAGCAACCAATAATGAACCCTGTTTCCTCCTCGAAAAAAGTACGTACCTACTCCAATGAGTGCCATCTTTACCAGATGGAACCTGGGCCATGCCCCTGGACACAAAGAAGTCCCGTCAGATTTTACTTCACAACCCATTCACTTCAGTTTTTTTATATGAAAGAGAATCTACTAAATCACTACTGGGCTACTGGTTCAAAAGTTACAGCCCTTCGAATTTTCTTTCGAAATTGGTTTCTAGTCTATAACTTTTGATTGAGAAGTCTGATCGAAAAAGTACGAATTGTTTTGGATTCTACGCACCAAAATTAATAAGAAGAAATGTTTTCCCGAAAAATTTTGGTGCAGTCGATTTTTGGTAAAAAAGGAAGGTTATAACTGCCATTTTTTGAGGCCCGAGAAAAAAATTGTCTCAGATCGACCCGGAAAAAAAATTTCTTATAGAACGTGGCCTGTAGAATCCATAATTTCAAACAGTTCCAAGATTGGGCTACTAGTTCAAAAGTTACAGCCCTTTGAAGTTTCTTTCGAAATTGGTTTCTAGTCTATAACTTTTGATTGAGAAGTCTGATCGAAAAAGTACGAATTGTTTTGGATTCTACGCACCAAAATTAATAAGAAAAAGTGTTTTCCCGAGAAATTTTGGTGCAGTCGATTTTTGGTAAAAAAGGAAGGTTATACACTGCCTTTTTTTGAGCCCGAAAAAAAAATTGTCTCAGATCGACCCGAAAAAAAATTTTCTTATAGAATGTGGCCTGTAGAATCCATAATTTCAAACAGTTCCAAGATTGGGCTACTAGTTCAAAAGTTACAGCTCTTTGAATTTTCTTTCGAAATTGGTTTCTAGTCTATAACTTTTGATTGAGAAGTCTGATCGAAAAAGTACGAATTGTTTTGGATTCTACGCACCAAAATTAATAAGAAAAAGTGTTTTCCCGAGAAATTTTGGTGCAGTCGATTTTTGGTAAAAAAGGAAGGTTATACACTGCCTTTTTTTGAGGCCCGAAAAAAAAATTGTCTCAGATCGACCCGGAAAAAAAATTTTCTTATAGAATGTGGCCTGTAGAATCCATAATTTCAAACAGTTCCAAGATTGGGCTACTAGTTCAAAAGTTACAGCCCTTTGAATTTTCTTTCGAAATTGGTTTCTAGTCTATAACTTTTGATTGAGAAGTCTGATCGAAAAAGTATGAATTGTTTTGGATTCTACGCACCAAAATTAATAAGAAAAAGCGTTTTCCCGAGAAATTTTGGTGCAGTCGATTTTTGGTAAAAAAGGAAGGTTATATACACTGCCTTTTTTTGAGGCCCGAGAAAAAAATTGCCTCAGATCGACCCGAAAAAAAATCATTTTAATTTTGCACATGAAAGAAACCACTTTTGGGTCTATCTACTAAATGATCATACCGGTTTATTTTGTTATCAATGTTCTTGACTATAGCGTGTTCCAGATGCAGATTATTGACGTACAGTACATACCTACTTGTCAAACTTATTAGTTATTCTTATTACCATAGAGTATATACAATTTGTATACGTTTAAACCGCCTATATAAAATAATGTACTCTTTGTTCAATTCCAGAGCAAAAATGAATCATTGAAAGTTCATGAAATTTGGTACAATGGTTAAGGGCGATGTTTATGAGTGAACTATGTTTACATAATTTTAAAGCGATTTTCACACATAATGACATAGAATTGCATGAGATATACTATTTTTAGCAGTAATTGCCAATAAAATTTTAATTAAAAAAAACTATGTGGAATGGAAATTCATTCAAAGTCTCCTCCCCTCTTCTAGGCTCGCCATTGCACTTACTTCGTCTAATTAGTAGGTACACCAATTTTGTAGTATTGTAACGGACGGTTACAAATTATCGATGATTCGCCGTGTATATTCTTCTTATCCATCGTTTTTCGGTGTCGATGTCGGTGTGAAGTATTTCGGAACTTACCCTAATTATACTTTTATACTTCCAGCTAGCTCAGGTAAATAAATGGGTAAATAATACAGAAAAATTAAGTGAATTTTTATCTTCGCAGGTACTTGGTTACCTTCAACAGATAATAATCAAAATTTGGGCAAGATTACTACCGAAATTGCAAAACAAAACAAAACTGCCAAAAAAATATCTTTTTCAACTTCATTTGTATTTTTTTCAATGTTGCGTCATGAAATTTTGTTAGCAAACCTCAGATTCGGATTCAGCACCCTAAAAAACATATAGAATCAAAGAAATCAAAACTACCCCACAACTTTCCTGGTAAAAATACAATTTAACTGGATTATAATAGTAAGTAGTTCGTGAACCCTTTTAACTGCGCGTTACTGTGATTTCACTTTTTAGGAAATTTTCCACTCCTGTATATTTGCACGTAAATGGTGATGCAATTTCTTCCGCACGATACGATTAGCTGGCAGTAAACCGAATATACAATCGCTTTAATTCACACTTATTGATTGGGTAGCTATTATTGTCCTAAAATGACAATAGTTTTAGGCGCCTTTTTAATATTTGGCAACCTTAAAAATGGCGCGCGTTGAAAACTTGCGCTTACAATGCGAGTTCCACAACGACTTAATTCACACTGATTCAAATTTACCGTTTCTCTCCCCCCTCTCCGGCCAAAGTACATTCACTCCATTCTAAATTTAAACTTACAACAAATGATACGTTTACAAAACCTAATATACATTATATACAGTTAATTACAACATTTCATTCCTTCACGCCCAGGCCAAAAAGCATTATGTGTAATTGAAAATATTGACACTCATTACAATATATATAAACAATAGATCCTACGGATACCTAAATGGTTTTATTATGAGTATTGCAATAAATAAATAGACAAGAATTTTGAATATAATGGTAAATGCCTACTTATAACCATATATCTACAGGGTGTAGAATTGGTTTATTTCTTTATATTCAAATATTTTCTCCCCTAATTATTTTACAGCAAAGTTGTAAATAAACTTTTTGTAGATTGTTCTGCGTCTATTCATGAGCAAATTTTAGCAAAAATCACTCGTGCCGTAAAATAATTGAAACAAAAATTCGGTTTTTACGCAAACACTAAATTCTAATTTATTCATTTTTTCCGGTTTGCCGAATTGAAAAATAATAATAATAATAACTTATATTGTGTAAATAAAACATTCAAAGTTTTTAACACTCGTCAACCGAAAACAATTATAAATGAGGACATGAGCAGACGCAGAATTTTTCAAGCAACACAAGAAACTTATTTACAACTTTGCTCTAAATTAGTTAGGGGAGAAAATATTTCGATACAAAGAAATTAGCATCGAAATCCCTAGGGTTCTACATCCTGTATACTAACTATGTAAGTATATATGTATAAATTTCTGCAATAACAAAAAGTTTGTACAAAATAAGAGGAAAATTCAAGAATTCTGTAACTAGTTTAACTTGCTTCAATATATATTGATAATAGCATTGTTTGGTTAGTAGGTGTGATGTTATTGAATGTTCTATTTTCTAAAATAAGGTTCTCATTTCAGATTTTTTAAATCAAAACTACGTCACAGATGTAAACTACTGTCTGTGCTACTATAAAGTGCAAGTACCTAAAAATTGTTTTGCGATTTTGCGCTTTACGCCGAAAACGATTGAAAAAATTTATAGAGTGAATGGCAAAATGTAATGCTTCCTAAATTAATTGAATGATATAAAAAATGTATTCTTCCTAAATTACGTTAAGGCCGAGTCCCCAGAGCAATGACGATTAGGGACCGTACGTTGGCAAAATTAATTAAAATGCAATTTATGTTATTAATTATTTTTTTGACATTGCAGTTATTATATTATTTATTATTATTTTATGGAGATAACATTGCAGCATCATAATTATTAACGCATTAATTGCGTAAAGAGTTATTTACATTATCATTAATGCAATAGTGGCAATTAATTGTACTTTGTCTACTATCACTTTCTTCAAAAAAGTATGTATAATTTTGGGTCGAGGCCGAATGCCAAAAAGATGAAAAGACAGTAGGCTCAAATCACAAATGTTACCTATATTTGTCAATACTTTATAATAAAAGAAGATTTCTACTAAATAAACGGGTTTGTGAGCATCACAGGTAAACTTATTTTCTTGTTTACTAATTAGTGCGACCGAGAAAACACGAGACGCGTCGTCGCCCATAATAACTGCGAATACAGGCGCTAACCCGAACCTTTCTGTGCGTTGGATTAAATGTGCTACTGAGGAACATTTGGCGAGTTAGTATCCTCGATCTAGAAACTATAACGTCTGTTTTAAGTGCAAACAACCAGGTCATACCCGATGTAATTGTACCAAGCGAGCCCAACGGTCTAACAAGTACCATAGAGAAAATGGTATTTCCTCTATGCAAGTAGGTACCTATACCTAGAAAGGAGCGCTGAACTGACCCACCGTCAAGAAGAGACACCCCTACATATAGAAACAACGTGATGAACACTTATATTCCCGAGACACCAAATTGGTACAGTGTGTAAGTTCCTGAAAGAAATTAAGACGGCGAAAACCTCAGTGCGATGGTGGACACCGGAAGTTCAATTTGTAATTGTAATTAGGTTTAGCAATAGTTTTATTTAATACGTGTTGATCCTGACGTATCGATCAAAGATTCGATAACAATAGTTATATGAGATTGAGTATGTATGTGTCTTTCTGGTTGAATCTGGTTCTACAAAATCCTTCATTTTGATGTGCGCATATCAGAAAAGTAAACCAGTAAAATATTGCAATCGGTCGTGGAAAAACAGTCCATATGTTTCAAGGGTTAATCAGATCGCCCTGTGAACGTCATCCTCAACAACACTACGAACGCTTTTGTATATGTTTGCGTTTTGGGGCAAAAAATGTACTCGCACCACAACGCCCAATCCGGTATTTCCTGAATGAAGGGTAGATGATTCAGACTTTTGGTAGTTACAAAACACTACAAACAACGAATGCTGCTGTACAAATAACATCGATTTTGCCTTTGGGCATAAAAATAATCAATGGGCTTCTACTATAGAAGATCAAAGGATGTTATAAAAGTGGTCCATTAGGTCTCAATTGATGAGAACAAAACTATTGTGGTTGAAATATGAATCAATTATGCAGATCTAATCGCGAGTTAACTCGAACTTCAATTACCATACATGCTTTCATTAATCAAATTTGATAGTATCTACTCAGGCCTATAAAAGATGTTTGATTTAAAACTTGGCACCAGTTCTCTAAGTTGAACGATTTCTAAAAATATACCGTATGTATATTATAGTTAATTTTAAACGCTAAGCTCTATAAGCATAGACTTCTGAATTCATTCATTGAGCACATAACGCATGCAATATGCCTTTGCAAATCAAATCACGTGTAAACGATACAGAAAAACACAGTTTAGATATAACAGCTCTCATCTTTAATAATAATAAACTGTATAGCGCATCAGACGACGGGAAAATTAAGGTGCTACGTAAGGTTCTGATGTTGCAATTGTTTAATTTTTCTTATGCAGGTATGGGATAAAAATCTGAAATTACTAGATGAAGTAATAGCTCATCCGTGTTCTGTATTTTCAATTACAATTGGAGATAATAGAATATATTCGTGCTCAAACGACGGATTTGTCAAATCATGGCCATTAAATAATTTACAATGCGAAGAAATTGTACTTCAAGAACCAAACGAGATGTACAAAGTGAATTTTAATGACGGTAAATTATATGTGGGAGACGATGCTGGGCTGGTAAGTACAGGTGAAAATGACTCTCGTAGAACTATGGCATCAGACATTTAAAATTGAAGGTCAGAATATTTTGTAAGAGCACAATGGTGGGTGTTTTGGAAATAATGCATCCAATTGCCGATCTTTTGGCACTAGGAAATTTAATATACACCGCACGAGATTTATATGTACTTGTATCGGAAATTCACCCAGGTAACATCCCGATACACAACTTATTGTTAATAGTGTGATATTTTAGAAACCAAACGGATGGCCACAGTGAAGGCTATAGAAGGTAGATCACCAGTTTGTGTGATCGGAGAAAAACTGTGTTTTACCAATCGTGGAGGCAAAGACATCCTCCTCCACTCGAACTCAAAGGCGTCTGAATTTCAGCAAATTGCCGTAGCCAAGGTATAACAGTTTGGTTACAAATCAATTTCGCTCTTTTTGAAATGATGTGTAGGACGCGCACGAATTAATTATAACCGCTTTGTGTGGACATTCAGACGGAGACCAAGAGTGGTTATATTCAGGCGGTTGGGACAAGGTTGTAAAGCGATGGAGGATTGCTTCCGAATTAACACTGGTGGATACGTGTCCTTTGGATGTACCAATCACCTCAATTACGATGGGGAATAATGGAGAACTTTACGTTGGAGGGGCTGATGGGAATATTTATTGTGTGACCTACCATTAAACAATCATCTGCGGGTATTCGCGGACCAAAGAAAAAGTGTTACACGGACAGTAAAAATTAACGCGTTCACCCATATTATTATGGTAGATGCAAGTGGTGGTGTTCATACGAGTCCAGGCGCATGTCGCATATGTATTGAACCAAAGCAAATAGACTTTACTTTACCTTTTTACTCGCATTTTTGTTTATTTTATAATTATTGCAGTAGTTAAAAGTAGCCGATATTGTTGATGAATTGGCAAAACCACATAGTATCAAATAAGCTTAATCGTATTTATTAAATGTATAATCTTTACCTATGTAAAAATCTTCTGCACATGTGTTGTATCAACTCCTGAACCGCTGGAGGGATTTTTATGAAATTTTGTTCATGTGTCTCTGTGTGTTCCCAGAAATCCCAGATAGCTTAGATTCACAATGGCGTCGATCTTTCGAAAAATCTTTTTTATTATACCTGAATCACAATCTCCGTTTTAAACACTCAAATGCGTGCGAAAAAGGGCCTTTAAAACACACGTGCTTTAAAGTTGATAAGTAACGATACTTCAAGTATGACTTTTGAAACTGTCATCTGGATGAAATAAAAAATCCTCTTAGGTCGCTTTCTGTAAATGCACAACATTTCTTTGGCTTTTGTACCCTTTGGTTGAAGCTTTCACAAACGCGCGTAATTTAGGGTATGCTTCCAAATCTGTTCCACTTTTTAATCGCAGCATTGCTTTAAAGTTTTGAATCAATGCACCAAAATATAGAAGATTTAAATACCTTTGACATTTCCTTCATATATGCCAGCATTATGGATGCATTTAAGACTGTATTCGTAAGTAACTTCCTACTCATCCATGGAAACAACTTTTCATATTCTTTATAATAGGCTTTACTGGAGTTGGATTTTACACCTACCAACGTTTGTTTAGATTTTACAACAATCGATTTAATGGACGGTGTATTATCTTTTTCAACGGAAATCGTTTTATTCACAAAGACGATGATTTTTATAAGCAAACGTCAAGTGACATTTCCATGGCAATCGTGAAATTATGAACACCCAGTCCACATAATTAGACATGTATTCGAGTATAACGTCAATATGATTTCATTGTATTTCCTATTTTTAAATTATACTGCAGGTATAATAAAAAATACTGTAAGATACACGTGTATAATTGGCCTTTAAAGCACTTGCAACGTTAAAGGCACTCCGCTTTGCGTCGTGCCCTTAAACTCGTTGCGCGTGCTTTAAAGACTTGATTATACACTTGTATCTTAATATACTATTTTATTTCGTTGATGTCGCACTGTGCTATTTCGCGTATCGTGCCGTGTATTTACATTTTTACATTCTGTAAGCTGGGTTCTCGTCATCATATAACGTACAAAAGTGCGCGAAGTCGCTTTTAAAGGTGTACCATATGGCCTTACGTTGTGTAAAGTAAACTGTCTTGAAGTGTGTTTCACTAATAATGGGCAGTATTTTAAACATCTCATGTAATTATTTTCATTGTTTTGTTGCCTCGAATCATTGTTCATTGTTTAAATACATTTAAACAATGTTTAAATACATTTAAACAATGCCGAATATATTTTTGGTTTTTTTTTTAAATTCATCACTATAGGTACTTGATTAAAATATAAAAACCGTTGATATAACTGGTATTTTATTTTCAATCTTATGCTATGATAGCTCGTTGAAAAGCGAATTAATCTATTAAGTAATCTAAATATTCAATATGAAAGTTGGTAACTCAAAAGTAGCCATCTTGAAATTTTTTTGGTATCAATTCTAAATTAAGCGTAATAAGTATCAAAGTCAGTAACTTTTATATGATATGAAACGTTTTTTTGTATCTCGTATACTTTCGATTATATAAGACATTCAAGGTAATAACCTACCTACTTCAGTACTTTTGAAATGACGTTCAACCTATTCTGCATGTTGAGCTTTCACTAGCAAATTTTAAATAAGCATCTAAAGCTGCAAAACATTGTCCATTTTATGATTTAACCAATTCTCTATCTTTAATAATAAGAAAGTTACCCAGACAACAATCCCAGACGATCTGCAACACACTGTATATGAATTTAACACTCATTGATTCATGCCACTCATATTAATCTTTTATTTGCATGTAGGTATATGTTACCTACAGCATATAAAATATTTTATATTCAAAGCTACAATTAATGTTGATAATCGGCGAATGTAGGTACACATTTCCCGGGAAATGTACACGTATCGCCCATATTTGTGGGCAGGAAAACTTAGTCAACATCGTAGGAAAATGAGTTGTGCACATTCACCGGAATTTTTACCTTAACTGTAAACATATTGATATTATAAGTATATGACTTTGAGCTTTGAATATTAATTTTATATTTAAAGCTTTGATGTACATTTAGGTAAAATGAGTTGTAACAAAGAGTATATAACGTACTTATACTCTTTATTGGTTGTAATCCAATTTTAATAAAATTAATTAAACGTAAAACAAGTAAAAGTATTATTATATCGCAGACCGCCCCCGAAAGACCGCGTAACGTAAAAATTCAAACTGAAACTTGCCCGCAACGCAATCTCATACAAAACTAACAAGTTAAAAAGTACTTAATCGTAAACGATTTACAAAAAGCGCATTTCCACTTGCATTCATTTCCCATTTGTAAGATGCAACTTCTGTTAAAATCGTAAAAATCCGGCCACAAATATGAAAGATGGTGTTGCAAATGTGCAATCCATTTTTGACGTGCTACTTCAATTTCAGTTTATAAGAAGAATTTTATTTCAATGCTTTTCTAAATAAGAAAGTTGGAATTGCGCATGCGTAAATCTAAATTTTGAAACTAACGTTAGATTTTCCTTTGTTCCAAGCGCCTATATGTATAAAATTTCATTAGACAATTCAACTCATGTATAAAAAATCGCATAAGCCGCAGTGCAATTGTCACCTTGACAGCGGCAAAAGTTACCTGCAACTTTTCCAGCGACAAATGCACTAGTGGTTTTTTCACTTATTCATTTTCGAACCAATATCGCATTATCCTTTCCCATATGACTAGTTTGACGTCTGTCAATAATTGATTAATTTGGTGAATTTCTTGTTCGTTAAATTGTCCCGCCGAATTACACTCGAGGTTTGTATTTAAACCGAGTAAATTTGGGTTGTGGCAATTCAAATCTGTTTCCTTTTAGCAATTGGACTCGAAAAACTGTCAACCTAAAAATGCTCCCCTGCGGTGTCGCATTTTTATTAGTTGACAGTTTTTCTCGTCTAATTACTAGGTAACAGATTTTCATTACCTAAACAACCCAAATTTACTCGGTAAAATACAAACCTCTTGTGCAATTATAAGTGATAAAAAAAAAGCACTGCGCATGCGCAAAACCAATTTTTGAAACTGGCGTTAGATTTTCATTTAGTCCAAATAAAAAAGTTTGCAATTCGGTTTATAAATGGTCGAGATGCGAAAAGGGCACTGTGAATTTTGAGTCGATTCGACTCAACTTTTGGCATTGCGTAATATATGGATAAAGCTATGCCAATTTTGAATTTCATGCAATTCAGTTCATAACTAACGGAGACGTCAAAGCGATCGGGCATTTCTAACCATCGTTCACACGGACAGACAGACAAAGGAACAGACAGACAGACAAAGGAACAGACAGACAGACCAACAGACAGCAATACCAAATTATAAAAGGATCGTTAATACACGGCAAAAGTGTAAAATTATGGAACATGTAAAAAACTGATTTTTCGTTTTTTTTTACAATAACTTATTTAGCAATAAACGCAGAAAACATTCCTGCCTTGCTTCACACCATAATGAACCAAATAGCGAAAAAAGTAGAACAATAGCTAAAGAACTAGTAGCGTCTCAACGAACGAGCGGACAAAGTCGCATTTTTTTAAATTTTTGTTCAGCGCATTTTCCATGCATTGATACTTCCCAATAGGCCACAGCTATGTTATGTGCGCTATCCGCTATGTTTCTTTTACTACATAGGCATCTATGGTTGAAATTTCAGAGAAATATCTTCATAAGAGACCCTTGACAGATGGCCTAACGGTGTACTAAATTGATTGCTTTTTTAAACTTCAACGAAATTAAAATATATATATATATATATATATATATATATACATCATTCTATCATTATTGCGTCCATACATTTACCAATTACGCACATTATTGCGTCCTTGGAACTATTGCGTCCGAATATCGGACGCAATAAAGGCATCGCCTGTATTTCCATGTTCCCGCCATTTTATGATTCAAATACTATCAACGAAGGATGCACTGGTTTAACAGATTGCTATAGCACAAACCAGTTTTGAGACATCTCTTGCCGTTTTCGAGATATTAAAAGATAACGAATTTTTAGTGGACGCAATAATAGATGCAATTCGTACGAAGTTGTATATTTTTAGTTCAGCACTTTGCAGCTAGGGGCGGTAAATTAGTATACGCTTTCAAGTATACGTTTTACAAAGTTGGTATATTATTGCGTCCAACATGTGGCAACACTGTAAGCTATTTATAGACATCATTTCGATAAGATAATCATCTTTTTATATCTTAAATGAGGATAATTATTATACTCTCCATTCGGAAAGTACATTGTTGCGTCCAGATACGTTTAATTATATTGGAGCTGATCTCCAAAAATGTAACAATTCAAAAAATTCTATTCAATGAAATTGTTTAACATAAAAGGTGGTATTTGGTTATCAAAAAATTAAATTTCGCTTTTGAATATTTTTGGTCGATAGTTAACAGCTGACCCCCCTTTAATGGCAGTAAATATTAACTTGGCGAGGTTCAATTGAAACGTGACGTCTCTTATACTATTCCCATCATTTAAAAACAAATTTTTACTACAAGCGTACACTTTAATTTTGTTGCATTATTCCGTAACCCAGAGCTGATGTTCAAAAATGTAACAATTCAAAAAATTCTATTCAATAAAATGGTTTGACCTAAAAGGTGGTATTTGGTTATCAACAAATTAAATGTCACTTTTGAATATTTTTGGTTGATGGTTAACAGCTGACCCCCCTTTAATGGCTGTAAATATTAACTTGGCGGGGTTCAATTGAAACGTGACGTCTCTTATACTATTCCCAGCATTTAAAAACAAATTTTTACTACAAGCGTACACTTTAATTTTTTTGCATTATTCCGTAACCCAGAGCTGTTGTCCAAAAATATAACAATTCAAAAAATTCTATTCAATAAAATGGTTTAACCTAAAAGGTGGTACTTGGTTATCAACAAATTAAATTTCACTTTTGAATATTTTTGGTTGATGGTTAACAGCTGACCCCCCCTTTAAGGGCTGTAAATATTAACTTGGCGAGGTTCAATTGAAACGTGACGTCTCTTATACTATTCCCAGCATTTAAAAACAAATTTTTACTACAAGCGTACACTTTAATTTTTTTGCATTATTCCGTAACCCAGAGCTGATGTCCAAAAATGTAACAATTCAAAAAATTCTAT